TGTGTGTGTGTGTGTGTGTGTGTGTGTGTGTGTGTGTGTGTGTGTGTGTGTGTGTCTGTGTGTCACATTGCTGCAGTTAGTTTGAATTGAGTTGAATGGCTTTGTGGCCTTCTTTGATGGGCGACTCCATTCGACTTGCCATGACACAAAAGTCTCACAGCTTACACACACACACACAGACACAGCGGTACGAGCGCTTCTCACCCGTCATCGTGCTACCGATTACTTATACAACTTAACTTATACTTTGCCCACCCTGACAACAATTGACACGCCTCCCACTCAGTGCTGAAGCTCTCATTGTCAGGATGCCATTGACCAGGAGCTGCTGCGGACATATGAATGAACGTTATGCAATTGCCAAAGCCTTAAGCCAGACAATGGAAGCGGGCCAGGGGGCGTGGCAGGCGGAACGCGCGTGTGTCTTTTGCTGAGCTAATGGGCGAAGCGATAATGGCTGGCATTATGTTTAATTATATTATCTAAATACAAAACGCATCTGAGCTGGCAACTTTCTAATCAGAAGCCGCAGGCAAGCACCCAACCGCCGAGCCATTGAATTGGCAAGCAAACGAGCGTTACGAAATTCTTTTGGCATTTTGCCCCGTTGTCAAGGTCTGGGTCTGAAGCCATTATCCTGGTTAGCAGCATGCAACGTGTGGCAACCACTGATATTGCGTCTGACAGTCAAACAGCCAGACCCTGTCCTTGCCTCAGCCAGTGGCAAGGTTCTCTCCTCATTCGCATCTTTCTCCGTTTCCTTATGTACACACAAATATTCTTGTCTGGCCTCGTGATACCCTGCTCCATGCGGATTCTATTTGCTGGGCAAAGTTTGTCATCGACCAGAAATTGATTTAGAGCTTTAATAAACCCTAATAAGGTATTCCGGGCAAGTGTTTTATAGCCAACTCATCATTTTGAACTTTTACTTCATTCATTATTAATTAGTTCTTATTTATTGTTCATTCATTCATTATTAATTATTCCTTATTCATTATTCAATAAGGAATCGTGGTTCATTATTCATTCTTCATTCATCATTCATCATTCTTCATTCTGCATTCTTCATTCTTCATTATTCATTATTCATTATTCATTATTCATTATTCATTATTCATTATTCATTATT